TTAATTTTGATATATAATTATAAATTCTGATCCCACGACATCGCAGTTATGAGAGATGTGATTGAAAGTTCATACAGGTTAGTTTCTTCAGATGAATAAACGACTTGTAGTTTGATTAATGAAATAAAATATTTTAGGTTCACTAACCGAGTACATTGAGTTAATTTTAAGTCAGTTGTTTTCGAAATTGAAAATGAATAACTGAGTAGATAGTAAAATCACTCTTCAAACGAAATTTAAAGATAGTTGACAAAGCTCGTTTTCGAATGTTTAACTGCTATTGTTTTTTGCAAAAATAACTAATGGTTCAGGAGGTTCCACGGTTTCCACAGTTTCCACGGGTTCCACGAGTTCCACGGGTTCCACGGTTCCACGGGTTCCACGGGTTCCACGGGTTCCACGGGTTCCACGGGTTCCACGGGTTCTACAAGTTCCACAGGTTCTACAGGTTCCACAGGTTCTACAGGTTCCACCCTGGTTCTGCAGGTTCTACTGGTTCCACAGGTTCTGTGGTCTGCTGATTTTTAGTTTAGTAACAACCACGTATTCAGTACTGTTACTGCTGTAGTCATTCAACATGACCTAACATGCTTCAAGTGGAGCAAACGCGGTTAAGATCGCTCTTTTTTCTTGAAGGGCCCACGCGTTAAAGTGGACGATTTTTCTCACTTCGTATCAAGCTTCTGATTGGTAATACAATATTTTTCACGAGAGAGAAAAATCGTATAACTAATGGATTGCTTCTCATCAAAGAGATGCGATTTTTATTCGATCAGTTTACAGTGAGTGAATCTCAGTACTTATATAATGAAACATGTTATTTTCACGAGTGAAGATATCACGTTTTGGTGCGAAAGCTCGTCTGCTATTGCATTGGTGTTTATACAATAAAGCTAAATATTAAAGAAATGGCGACGGAACATTTTTATGGCTTATTATTCAATACGTGCATGTAATTACACGACTCGGGCAGTCAGAGGGCCAATAACTAAAATCAACCAATCAAAATGCTCTATTGCCAGTCAATATTCTCTCAGTATCGGACCGGGCACTATCC